CCCCAAAACCCCAAAACCCCATCATTTGGAAATCTAAGATCTAGAGTTCATATGTAAAATAATCTATTTTCTAATGATTAGGGAATTATATAATTTAATTTGGATGCCAAAACTCTTTGATTCTTCTTAGATAAGTGATATTTTGCAACTCTAATCATCTCAGAACTAAACTTTTAATGATGAATTTATATTGACGCCATTTCCAATGTCTCCATCATTAATGGAAGTAACAGGATTAATTCTAATTTTGGGGCTGATAATACTTTGTAATGCAGGAGGTCTAGGAGGAGGTGGAAACTCAACTCCATTTATTGCGGTATTTTTCAATTTATCATTAATAGAATGTATTCCTATTGGAAACTTTATGGGATTAATTAGCTCATTATTTAGATTTATAATCAATTTTAGAGAAAAGCATCCAAACAATCCTAATAGGTTAGCAATAGATTATGAGATTATTGAATTGGCAATGCCAGTGCTATATCTAGGGACGCTTTTAGGAGTATAGATTGGCACAAAACTTAAAGAAATTTATTTGGCAGTGATATTTGCAATATTGTTGTTCTTTTTAACTTATAAAACATCTAAGAATGCCTATAAAATGATCCAAGATGAAAATTAAAAACTCAAACTTAGAAGTTAAATGGACAACTAATTGAATACTAAATTAATAGAAAATGATAAAATTATTAAGGACACAAATGATCATGAGAAAAAACATATCATTGAGATCAACAGCAAACATGAATAATCAAGCTAATTACAAAATATATTGAAGCAAGAGAGTTAACATTTTACTTTGAGGAGATGCATGAATTTTGCATTAAATCTTATGTTTTTGATAACCACATCGATGCTTTTGAATAGTAAAGATATAATTAGAGTGAGCGATTATATTAAATATGGAGCTGTGGGACTATTTATTATCTACGCTGTTATATATACATTTCTAATATCAAAGTCTCTGCAAAGAAACTATCATATTAAAAGACTTGGGGGATACATATTTGATAAAAATGATATAACATATGAGAAAACAAACCATTTAATTAAATTGATTGTACTTTGCTTTTTTTGCGGAATCCTTGGAGGTATTGTCGGTATACCGGGAGGAATCATCTTAGCTCCTATGTTTATCTAATTGGGAATGCTGCCCATTATAGTATCCAGCACAAATTAATACCTTGCATTGATTTCATCAATATCAGTTTCGTTCTAATACTGGTATCTAGGAATGCTAAACAAGTAATTTATCGTAGCCTTGGGCATCATATGCATAATAGGATGCTACATTGGATTAAAGATTGTTTAAGTTAAGGTTAAAAAGAGTGGAAGACAGTCAATTATAGTTGTTGCCCTTGCTATAGTGCTATTTGCATCTTTCTTCATGATTCCAGTTAAGTATTTGCTAAAAAATATTGCACCTTAGTGACTAATAACCTAAAATATATTACTTGTAGTTTCTAAAGAATATTTAATCACAAATTTAACTTTTCCATCATTAAACAATCTCAGAATTTAATAATTAAATTACTTTATGTTTCAATGGTGTTACATCCTGATAGCTTTTAGAATTTAACTATGGGGTTTTGGGGTTTTGGGG